CTCGTCCGTCCGGGTATTTTCTGACCGTAAGGAGTCTGGCTACAGCCCTCATCCGCAAGGATCTCGTCAACCACCGACACGGGTAGCAACCCACGGCCAACAGGTTGGAGAGCCTATTTTATTCAAAACATCGGGCAACTCGTACGATGTTCGGATCACTTTAGTCTGGTCTCTACCCTTCGACCTGTCCAGCATGGGTAACCCTACCAGGAGACGAAGCTCCAACTGGCATAGCTCTTGGGGTCACTGAGACACGCAAGCCCCCCGACCACGGCAAGGATAGCGATCCACCGGGGGGTGTAGTTGTTAGAAGAAGATTTCGCAAAAGTTTCACCAAGCTTGTTGGCAATATCCTTTTCAGATGTTAATAAATCATTGCCATTTTTTAAATGTTTAACTGTGGCTTTAGAATTTTTACCTTTTATCTTTTGTATCATGTTCCATACTTTTGTCATCGGAGTGCGAGATGTTATCTCCGAGACAAATTTCTTCCAAGACGTTCGTCGTGCTTGCCTGCAAGTCCGCCGTGCCTTAGCGCGAAAAACACGGAAATTACTCAAGTTTTCCGTCGTTGGTTGTTGATTGAACCGTCTTTCAGATTTTTTACGGTCACCTATTGCTTGATCACAAGCATCATCAAACCATGGTTTGCTGGGATGTTTCGGATTTGCCGAGGTCTTAGGAATAGTTCTGTCAGCAATTGACGTTAAAACTGTGTTAAAAGTTAAAATTGGATCTTGTACAGTCTCAAACATCTTTGACTGAAGTTCCGCTTGACAGAGATTCTCAAACAAGGACCAGTCCGCCTTGTCAAGTTTCCAACGTGGTACTCTCTGTTGGGTAGAAGTAAAAAGATGTTCAAGTACTATTGGAAAGTGATCACTTCCACATAGATCATCATGAACACGCCATGAATAATCCAGAAGAAGAGAGGGATCGCAAATAGTGATATCAATAGCAGAATAAGACCCGTTTCCAGGATGAAGATAAGTATTAGATCCATCATTAAAAATGCATAATCCTTCTTGAGAGACAAAGTCCTCAATGATCTTACCTTTGATATTATGAGACTTGCTTCCCCACAAAGGGTTGTGGGCGCAACGATATTTTATTAAATGTTTAATACTTATCTCAACTATTGAACTCAGTTATTACGTCCTACTTCAAACCACTGAAAAACATATAATAATCCTAGTTGAAGAGGACTGTGTGTGTCAAGTCATCTTTTGACAAAAAAGATTTGACAGTTTAATTAAAAGAATAATTTCTAAGATACAAAGTTCATAATATTTCAATTGTCATGAATTAGCTTGATACATTTTCACTTAATAACCATTAACTGATACAAGTAGGCAAAGACTTGACACTAATTCACACAATTCAGAAGAATTTCTTAACCTGTTTTTTAAAGTGGTATTTGTTATGTTTTAGGCAATGGACACAACTGAGAAATGTAAAGTATGTTGTTAAAGTAGTAGATTTCAAAGAACCAGTTCAAAGAGCTTCTGTCAAAATGAACATCCGATCTCTATCAACCTTCAACAATTTTGAATTTGAGAAAGACAGCATACGAGTATTATATACTTATAACTGTTGTCACGTTTCATTATTAATGCCTGTTCCCGAGTTTTTATTATAAACCCCATCCACCCATACTTTGAAAAAACAACGTCTCGGCGCTCAAAGATTGAAGGGTTTTTCTTGCTTTATTAAAATATTTCTTCTTTGCTTTGATACAAAATTTAATTAATCCGGCACTTTTAATCCATCTTCAACAATGATTTGTCTTAATTCATATAAACAACAATCCTCGTCAATGAGAACTGCTTAAATGGGTTCACCAAATTGAATTCCGAACTCAATGTTGACAATTGACTATTGATCTTGGTTTGTGTACTCTAACATTGACGTCATAGAAAAAATGACGTCAAAACGTTACTAAAGAACAAATCAGGAGACTTTTCAGAGTTCATTTGGGAACTTATTTAAAAGGTGAACTTTCAAATGAATTGATATATTTAAAATAATTGGCCATTAATAATGTAAAATTCTAAATAGCATATTTATATATGACATGTAGATCATACCCCAAATCAATATACACTTATTAAACGTAAATGCATTTTAATATAAATAGGATGTCAATAAAAAGGAAGGTCATTTTTATATAATATCTCGCAAAAATTATGACCCATATTTTTGGAACATCCTCGTATACCCAATACTAGGAAGTAACACCCCCGGTGCGTTTTGATAGACACACAATCTGACTTAATCCTCTTGCTGCCAGTTGTTTTTTAAGGTTGCATTTCGTGTGCCAGAAAATTAGACAGCTCGACGACTGTGCCGTCACATGCCCAAAAATGACGTCATTCAATATATGACGTCACGCCCTAATGACCGGTGCATTTGGGAGCCATTGAAGAAAAATATAACACTGTTTAATCTTTGGTCTTTTATTTGATTGATTGTTGGTTGCTTAACGTCCAGTTGCAAATATTGCGTGCATATTTAGGACGAGAACAAATTAACAAACAAAACATAGGTAGGTTCTGTAATAGAAGCGTCCGGGAGTATTGTCGGAGAAATTTAGACTGCCACGGGAAATGATGGTATATTGGATATGGACAGAAATTAAGCCATGCAACAGGTCACCCACGGACCCCTCAAAGAGTTGTTGCAAGGGTTCTTAACGTGCAAAGAGCGTTGCACTCTCTTTACACGAGACATCGGAGATAACGTCCCCATTCTGACCCGACGTGGCTGCGTATTTATACATCCTTCGCAGTCAAACGGACGCCCCACTTTGGCGAGGGTTTACTGGCGGTCGGAGGAAGACCAATTGTGACCATACTTTTATTTGAAAGAGATACAGCATAAATTAAAACATGGACATATGTGTCCCTCCGGCAGCAAGAGGGTTAAGTATAAAATGGTAACTTGTTCTCGTTCAGAACATTCATTAAGTTGTTGCCACTGGGCGTAAATCAAACAACAATCAGCCACAGGAATACGTAGTTTGGATATTCTGGTTGAAGAGAAACTACACCACACAGGTACATACGTAATGATTTGACTGTCACCAGTACGAAGAGTTCTAAAAGACTAAAGAAAATGAGAGCAGTCAAGTGGTTCAGAGGACGAATTTCAAGATTCGTTTGAACCACCACTGATCCCGTAGATTTAGTAATTTTGATGTCAAATTACTTGTACAACACGATATTTAGTTATAAATTTAGGAATAATAAAGTTTCAAATAAATACCAAACGCTTGATTAACAATTAAAGGTAATACGGCTTGAGAGTTATTGGTTCATGAAAGTGTTGATAAGTGTACAAACACCGTTTCAGAAATATCTTATCAGTTGCGTGGAGTTCACTGCAGGGCACTTTGATTTTGTTCTTGTTCAGCCGGATGTTTAACCCTATTATGATTAATCGTATTTGTTGTACGACCATATGTTAACTGATGAGTTAAGCCTTTTTCAACTGATTTTTATAGTTCGTTCTTATGTTGTACTGTTACACCACTGTCCCATGTTAGGGGGAGGGTTGGGATCCCGCTAACATGTTTAACCATGCCACATTCTGTATGTATGTGCCTGTCCCAAGTCAGGAGCCTGTAATTCAGTGATTGTCGTTTGTTGATGAATTCACCCCAAGGGTGACTGGGGTATAGAAGTATGGTCACCATTGGTCTTCCTCCGACCGGCAGTAAAACCCGTGCTAAAGTGGGGCGTCCGTTTGGCTGTGCGGGATGTACAAATTTGCAGCCACGTCCGGTCAGAATGGGGACGTTAAATCCGATGCCTCGTGTAAAGAGAGTGCCACGCTCTTTGCACGTTAAGAACCCTTGCAACAACTCTTTGAGGGGTCCGTAGGTGACCTGTTGCAAGGCTAAATTTCTGTCCCTATCCAATATACCCTCATTTCCCGTGGCAGTCTAAATTTCTCCGACCTTAATCCCTTAATCTATTACAGATCCTACCTATTGTATTTATTGTGAACTTGTTCTCGTCCTGAATATGCATGAAATATTTGCCACTGGACGTTAAGCAACCAACAATCAATCAATCAATCGTTTGTTGATGTGTTACATATCTGTTTTTCGTTCATTTTCTGTACATAAATTAGGCCGTTAGTTTTCTCTTAAAAAATGCCAAAATTGTAATGATTTACAATAAAAAGAAAATATTATCCTCCACACACATGGCCAAGATAACACTGATATATAATTTCTTATTCAGTTGAATTAATAATTAGAATAAAAAAGTTCTAAGGTTCACGTATTGTCTTTTTTTTTTTAAAAAAGCAACTTGTTTGATCATTATTGATATTTATTGAATAAATTTAAATTACAAAGTTGGTTCATATATGATAGTTCAAGAAAAAACAAAAACTGAATTTTTTAAATTAGTGTTTTCTTGTTCAAAGAAAAATAATTCAAAACTGAATTGTGACTTTTTGTCCTGTGACTTTCTGTCCTACATTCGAAATTTACCGTAGACCTAAACTCAAAAAGTTTTTGTAGTTGTCAGTACTTTAGTTTATAATAACATTATGCCGTACTAGTGAACTCATCCCGTTAAACGTTCATATTAAGTAAAACATGGATACAGAATATCGGGCACATCTGTTGGATCATTTGACCACTCGTACTTTGGGATTTTGTACTGGTCCTTATTGTCAATTCCTTCTCGACATCGTGCCCTAGTGACAACGTCCACACTGTCCTAATGTGTTACCTTTAGTAATTCTTCAGTCAGACTTAAATGCAGGCTGAATCGATACAGGAATGACACAGATTAACTTGTAAACAAAGACATGCTTGGAATAGCTTAAACTACACAATTATTTTAAGACTTTCTGTCCTGTAAACTAACTACCTACGACAAAACTATTTTTTGTAGAAATGTCACCCTCAATATTCCCGCATCCGGCTCTCTCCAAGCAGACTATCGGATACCGCCCAATTAGGACAGAAGACCATAATTACTTATAGTCGCCGTCATGTAAAATTGGCACCGTGTTTTTTGTAGAAATTTTTTTAAATATCAGCCGCGTTCACTCGAGATGACGTTTTTCAATAAGCGGAATAAAAATCCTTTCCAAATATCCACTACTGTCCTACCTTTTATTGTGTTTGCACTGTATAATCCTGACCTTCACATTATTCAAGATTATTTACATTGTTAATCCGCCATCATGGTTTCTATGAGGATCCTTTATTTACATAACATTCGTTACTCTCCGGCAATATCCGTGTCATTGATGTGATACAGTTTCCCGCGCTTTTTACATGTAAACAATAACACGAGTTGTGTAATCGACAAGATAAATATGTTACCTGAATATGACCCGGAGAATGGACAGAATGGTGTTTACACGAAGAAACAATGAAATAAAAAGGTAATGTATTAAAAAAACAAATAAAAAAGAACCGGCAACATATCCAATCACAATAACTGAAGAAAGACTGAACTTTAACATATAAAATTTTGAGGGGTAACTGGGGCAAGGTAACATGCTTTTCGGACAAAACAGCCGTCGGACGCCAAAGCAATATCGGACTAGGGAATATGGGAATGAGATGTTGGTAAGCAGGAGTCAAGGGGAGGGTAGCGGTAGTCTGGGAAGTGCAGTGACGAGTCAGAATGGGAGGGGGAGGGGTAGAAAATTTGGATAATCCTGAAATGGCTATTTTACTGATTTTCATCTGAGATTCCTATAAAAAAAAATGAAATATGCACAGAAAAAAAAATGATGATACCTGTGTCAAACATCTGTTGATATGTTTTCTGGTTTAAAAAAAACAGACATTGATTGTAGCCTTTCAGCTCATGAATGTAGTCGATTATACAGAAACAGCAAAAACACAGACTCTTCAGGTTTCATGTTATCTTTATAACATCAATTTCTGTACATGTCAATACAACATCATTGCTATATGTACTATGATTTCAACAATACTACATGAAGTAAACTGGACTAGGGTGCCACAGTTAATTCCAATGGGATGTTTTGGAATTTCTTAAAAAAAATGACAAGTTCCCTTGAAATTTCTTTTAATGTCAAATGGAAATGCTTACCCTTTTAGAGTTCACAAGTAAACATTAGTTTTTATTTATTTTCCATGTTGATCCATTAATAATTGATTTTCATTTTGTTTGTGGATAATATTCTTTTCATTGAACATACATTTAAAGGATTCCCAAGTCCACATTAACTATATCTGTTGTTTTGAATGATTGTAAGTTCATCTGATTTTGATGTAATTTAAACCGGTCATTATAATACTTGAAATATAACCTTTTTCTTTATGACTCGCTTTTTTGGTCACTGCCTTATGCAAGTTCGTTGTTACAATGTATGTTCAAGAAAGGTAAAAGGGCTATTTTGAAGCCTCTTAAAACAGGTTTTCAGTCATTATGAGTACTAGTGATACTTGTAAAAAGTCTATGGATTTATCATAAATGTACTCTGTTCCCCTCTGACAGACATTCACAACTGTGTGTCACCATACCACATTGCCAGTTACAAATGTATAAAAGGCCCTGATAAGACAAAGTGTAAAACATGCGAACAATGAATCTATGGACCTTATTTATGTACAAACAAACAAACACAAAACACATATCTTATACATGTACCTGTAATTTGTGAGCTCTGAAGTTTGGGAATTTTAAATAAAACAAGCATTTCTGAGAGTATTGCATGGCAACTATGCCAATACATAGTCCACTACCTGTTAAGAATTCATTGTACTGGAACAAAATGCTAACTTGATCTATAACTTGTCATGGTGTAAACTATATATCAAATATAAAGTCAATATACTCCAGCATGGCAAAGATAAGTGAGGAAAGCTGATTATTTAAGTAAATTTTCTAATTCCAAGGACCATAACTCTGCGTAAAATCATCAGACCAGAACATAATTCAAACTTGATCTGTAACTTGCCATGATAAAACTATATACCAAATATCAAATCAATATTTTCAAGCATGAAGAAAAAAGTGTGGAAAACTGATTTGCCGGACTGACAGATGGACAGACAGACAGGCGGAGTGCAAACCTGAAGTCCCCTTTCGATTTCATCGGTACAGGACTGTCACTAAATATTCTATTCTATACAGCAACAAAAAAACTCACTAAGTTCCATGATACTCTTGACTTGGGGGATACACACACAGAATATAATAGGGTGGTTGATTTGGTATGCTGTACTGGCATGTTTTTTTGGCAATTTCTCTGTTACAAATGTATTAAACATACTCAGCTAACAAGTTTGATGACTGAATACTGAATGTGTTCATCTTGATGTTGATTGCAAGAGTTGCCTGTAATCGACATATTGTTACGCCATCTATCTATTTGTCTATTGTTAAAGACTGTATGTTGACTTTTTAATGCAGACTTGAGAGTAAAGCAAACACCAATCAATCTTTGATATTCTTTATGCTGGGTTTCTGTTTCATTCATATACATGTATGTATATATATACCACATCAACTGTTTTATGTTTAAACATTACAAATTATGATACCAGATAAAAAAATGAGAGAAAGTGTGAAATAGGTTTTCCATTGTGAAAATTTTCTCCAAGGGTGTTCTCTCAAATTTTGAACATTGACACCTTTCAGAATTGATGCACTTCTAATCCAAATGCCTTAATACGTTTTTTCATTTTAAGATTAAGTCTCTTAATGCATTGATCAAAAGTTAAAGCTGATCCTCATCTCAACCTTCCTTTTCTTTTAACTTGCAAAATTCTTATGTACTAGTTAAACATCTACATATTGTAATAGCTATATCTTATAATCTATAGCTGTATATATCAAAAAGCATTTTCAATAAAACAATATAACAGTGTATTTAAACAAAATTTATGATTTAATAACTTAAGATACAATGTACATGTACCTTTTTTTTTATATTGGAGTAACAACATGAACAACAAGTTATAATTAAAAACTTAACCAACATTAATCATTAAAATTCAATTACTTTTTATAAACATAATTAGAAATAGAGATCTTCAACATAAATGAACTATTTACAATCAGAATAAATATATATCACAGTTGTTGGAACTATATATCACAGATGTTGAAACCAGTATATCACAGATGTTGAAACTACGGTATATCACAGATGTTGAAAGTAGGGTATATCACAGATGTTGAAACTATATCACAGATGTTGAAACTATATCACAGATGTTGAAACTATATCACAGATGTTGAAACTATATCACAGATGTTGATTTAATGTATACAGAATGGGTTAATAGCAATCACTCAACTAACTGTCCAGAAACTGTTATCAAAGAATCAGTAACCGAAGATTAAACAAAGGTATGTTAAGAAAGTCCTCCTGAGCTGTAAAGAAATGTAGACAGTTCCCATGTATAAAGCTGTATCAGTTCTGAAACTGCCAGTAAAATAGTTGCATGTACATGTACCTACACTTTCTTTAAAAAAAATATAAAAAAAACAATTGATAATCTTTGCTTATGTTAATGATTGGAAGTAACTTTTTGACAGTAAAATAAGTTTTAATGTGCAAGTGTCATAGTGTAGGGAGGAACATTTTTTTGGTTTATAATTCAAATGAAAAATATTCTATTTTCCCACCCTCAACTACTAATCACAGATCAACTAAGCCAGTTAGCCATCAGGTTTTTAATTTTTTAATTTTAATGGAAGACATTTTTTAAGTTTTTAAAAAGTTACAGATATTATATATATAGGAAATCACTTTTTATAGAAAAGATAGGAGTTTTTCTGTTTATCATTTTTCTTAACATGCTTTGAATAAAACAATCAATTTTATACATTGCTATAAGTATTCCCCATTTCCATTCTCAATTTTATTGATAAATCTACATTTAAAAATATCTTTAATAAGTAAAAATTATGGAGTGTTCACGTTACTATTTTACTGGCATGAAAGAAAGACATCACTGTTCCATCTCTTCAAGTGGCGAAATCAGTGGTTCACTGAGGTTCCGGTGGTTAAAAATGGAGAAGCACCGAAGACAGACATTCTTCGCAAGAGCAGGTTTTGTGCAACACCTGTTGTGTACCCACTGATCACAAGCATCACACTGAAACCAGGATATATACTTGTCCTTTTGAATAGGCTTGGGTGGTTCAGTGCTACCACAGGTATTGCACAAAATCTCATCAGCATCATTGATGGTATCAGAGACACTGTCCTCAAAGTCATTGTCATTTTCAACGTCATTCCCCTCCTCCTCCCCCTCTGAAAACATGTAAGGAATTGTCCTTTGACTGTCTTGGCTGTCATTGTCCGTCATGTCAATCACCACTGGATCGACGTCTTCGTCTCTGATGCCATCAAGTTTCCTGAGCTTTTCCTCAAACTCCCTTTCCACATGAGTCTCAAATTTAGCCCAGCGCTCCGCATCGATATGGGACTTGGCCTCCTCAAAAAGCTTGATAATGTCTTTTTTCTTGCAGCTAGAATTATGTCTAGCTACATAGCCTTTTAAGTAAGACCAAACCATTTCGATGGGATTGAGCTCACAATGGTAAGGAGGTGTTCGTAAAATCTCATGGCCATTAGCTGATGCAAGTTCGTCTATAATATACCTAGGAAGAGGTTTGTGTTGCTTCACCAAATCAAGCAGCTCGGCCTTTTTCATTTTCTTATCATACTGAACAATGCTCTTCTCCAGCCATGCCGAGATCTCTGACTTGTTGCAGTGTTTGGTACCCTTGAGTCAGGATCTAAGTGACTGTGATACGGAGCATTGTCCATTATGATTACAGACCGAGGAGGCAGTTTAGGGAGAAGTGTATCTCTGAACCACTCTGTAAAGTGCTCCTTATTCATCTCGTCATGATAATCAGAGCTGTTGGTTTTCGACTCAAATATAAGACCACATCCGGGGATTAGGCCTTGTTGAGAGGAGCCAACATCTAGGATTATCAATCTAGTACCCTTGCCAGAAGGGACTTTCCGATGGGTACCTTTACAGTGGGGCTCAAAGACAGACATGGACGTGCTGGGAACATCCAGCCAGTCACCCTTTACCACATGATTAGTGTTCAACCAAGTCTCATCTAGATATACAATATGACGCCCCTGCTGCCTAAACTTACGTATCTTACGAAGATATGTCATTCTCATGAGAACGATGTCCTCCCTCTCCGACACAAATCTTCGGCTTGACGCATTCTTGTAGAACCTGAAAAAAAAAATTTATATAAATATATACATTCACAATTGCATAACATTTAAGGGTTATTACACTGAAACATAATTGGGGCACAAAGAACGTACTTTTAAATCTCAACTAAAAGTGGGTGTCAATAACATTCTATATTTGTCGCCCCCAAGGGTGACTGGGGAATAGAAGTATGGTCACCATTGGTCTTCCTCCGACCGGCAGTAAAACCCGTGCTAAAGTGGGGCGTCCGTTTTGGCTGTGCGGGATGTACAAATTTGCAGCCACGTCCGGTCAGAATGGGGACGTTAAATCCGATGCCTCGTGTAAAGAGAGTGCCACGCTCTTTGCACGTTAAGAACCCTTGCAACAACTCTTTGAGGGGTCCGTAGGTGACCTGTTGCAAGGCTAAATTTCTGTCCCTATCCAATATACCCTCATTTCCCGTGGTAGTCTAAATTTCTCCGACCTTAATCCCTTTATCTATTACAGAACCTACCTATTGTATTTATTGTGAACTTGTTCTCGTCCTGAATATGCATGAAATATTTGCCACTGGACGTTAAGCAACCAACAATCAATCAATCTATATTTGTCGCTTTAAGAGGATACCACATTTTGAAAGAGACTTCTGCAGGTTTATGTTTAAAAGGAACATTATAATAGTGATTGATGCATGTGATTTATTTTTCACATATGTTTAATAATTTGTAGCTATAAATTTGAATTGTGGTTTATTTGTTTTCAGACTATTTTGCTGATGACTACAGAGCAAAAAAATATTTCCAATATGTATAGATATGTACTTCAATACTGAAATGTGTATTTAATGCAGGTAAATATTTCATTAATTCAAGTTATGAAAGTGTTTCAGATTTTTGAATCAATGATTTTTATGTTGTTTGTGCTGTATTTAGACACCTCTACCAAGAAATTTGTTTTGCATGCACACATACAAAAATAGAGGTTTTTATCCAACGCAATCATAGGTTTGAACGTTGTTTTCAATTTAGACTTGTGTGTATATATAATTGATAATTAAACATGTTAAAAGAGATGATTTAAGATACATGTACTACAAAACAATGGATTAAGTCCAAACATTATGAATGAAATTAATTACCGAAACCCCAGTAAACGCACTGTTCTCGACACTGTTGATATGGAAACGTCGATGTCTTTCTTTTTCAGAGCTTGCTGCAGACTTGGCATGGTCACTGACTGGGATTTCTTGTGCAGATCATAGATGGTCCTTCTCACCACACCTTTGTCGAAATCATCCAACTTCTGGTTCTTCTTGACAGTTTTCTGGACAGCAGCCTTATGAACTGCCTTCACCACATCCTGCACAGCATCATCACTGGCATCTGTATGGACATAACGTCGCAGTGTTGTTGGTTTAATCCCTGAAATTTCAATTGTCCATGTATTTCAGCATATAACATAAAAATGATAGAAAAAACTTGTATATAATTGTATAGAGTGGATTCAAGGTGGTTGGGGGCATTTATATATCTTCTTGTTTGCATAGTCATAAAAAATTGTTGTTCGACTTGCATAGCTTGACAATATATTTAAGGAATAACAGTACTGTAGTTGAAGAGTTGCCACCGTCAATTGTCGATTTGACGATCGCAAATGCAGTTTTACTGGTGATGCGTAGCGGAGACAGTAAAACGGAAATTTCAACCGTCAAATCAAAATTGACGGTGGCAACTCTTCAACTACAGTACTGTTATTCTGATTCTAATGCAATACAAAAAGAAATAATACGTTAGAGGTTGACAAAATGTATAAATTTCACATACAAAAAAATCCGCGAAACTTCTTGAATGATTTTGGCGCAAAAACGTCATGGCTAAGTGTGACGTCATTCAAATGAAAACTGACAAACTGAAGGTTATTACGTTACCTCTACGATTTAAATTCGGATAAAATCACATTAAAACGGCGAATTGGTTGTAGGTTTTGTTTTATTTTCGATAATATTGCAGTAATCGAACATTTGTTGATCCAATCAATTCAAAATGGCGGATCCCTCCTTAGTTAAGCCTGGTCAACTGTGGATTTGACGGTAACTTTTAGCCAATGAAAAAAATTGTTACATAAAAATTGCATTAGAATTCAAGTTTTCTTATCACCACTTAAATATTTATTAGATTTGCCCCAATTACATTATCTGAAACTTATCCTAATGTACACGTGATTCATCTAAAATTACTATATTTGGTGTATGTGGAAGGATTGGAATGGAACTCATGTCCAAGGGTACATCTGACCCTCGCTTCATTTTCATGTTTAATTGCTGATGTGTATTTACAGTTAACTGTTTTACCTGCAAATTTGCTATTGATGCCTTGACCTTATGAATTGATATTTATGAGGTTGAAAATATCTTTCATCAAGTTTTATCTATAGACATCATTTGGTTTGCACAATTATATGTTATTAAAAATAACAAGACCCCAATAATTGAGGTCTCCAACAAAGTTTGTCTGCTTTAAAATCATAATTGTTGATTTTATGCAAATAATTTTTCTTTTTTTTTCAGTTATGTAAAACTGAAATTTTTTTTAAAAAAATAAGTTAATTTTACCTGTTGCCTTTACTAGTCTTTTAATGGGATTTTGAAGTGCCCATGGTTTATTTTTCTCCTTCTCTCCCACAAAGAATTGGTAAACTTTCCTCAATAATTCTTTTGTCTGAAAAAAAAACAACAACATTTTGTATATGATCAAAGGGAGGTAATCCATAGTAAGAATGGGATGTGATTGTTCTATATAAGATTCTTGTTACGTTTCATTTTTGAAAATGCAGAGGGTTTGGTAAAAATGACAGTGCACAAAGATTAAATTATGTACATGTAGTTATGTATAAAGATTGGAGTTGAATTTTTGTTATCGTGTAATGATCTTTGTATAAATGTTGTCGCTGATTAAACCAATTTTTAAGGTTATTTATAATTGCAAGACACTGACATGTTGTATGGCATTCTTAATCAACAGTTATCATTTATAATTATATATTATTGTTGTATACTAGTATATCAAAATATTTGTTCTAATGTAGCTGTGAAATTGATTTAAGGTACTGCATTTGTAGTAAAATTTAAATAATTTGAAAGATTTCTAATTTGTTCTAAGCACTTCTTGGTGATATTTATATTTTTCTTTTGTTGTAATTTTGTGAGTACATTATTAATTGTATTATTATGGTAGCTGTTTATTCCTTCATTACCATCAGTCATATAAGGCAGTATGGACGAGGTTTACAAATTAAAAGATAATGGAAAAGCATGGTGATTAAGAAAAAGAAAGGAAAATAGAAAACTTTTTTTTTTACTAAAAGATAAAAAAAATAATTATGTGTTAAAATTTAAAGAATATATAACAATGGCATGAAATTATTCATATAAATGAACACCACCCTATTCAGACCCTCATATGTAACTGGTAACCCAAACTATGTAGGAGTGTTGCCTTTCCTGTTAAAGAATTATGAGCAAAAAGTAGTTCTTGTTTTCTATGTCTTTTTATGCCCCGCCATAGTGGAGGGGTCATTAAGTTTTAACCTTGTCCATCTGTATGTTCGTCCCTCCGTACATCCCAAAAAAGTTTTCCATTCTCTAAATTTAGTTTGCCTTAACCAAATTTTATGAAACTTATCCACAATGCTTATTACCACAAAACACAGATTGAGGTTTAATTTTGCTTTTACTATTCTAGAGTTATGCCCCTTTACAAATGGAAAAACTGCTGAATTTTATGTTTCTGTTCTCTAACTAAAGTTTGCCTCAACCAAATGTTATGAAACTTTGACACACTGCTTATTACCACAAAACTCAGATCAAGAAGAAATTTGGGTAGCGTCACTTTTACAGTTCTTGAATTATAGCCCTTAACTTTATATGCAAGTGGGGGCATCATCTGTGTCCCATAGACACATTCCCTGTTTATTTTTTTCTTATTATAAAATACCCATTTATAGGGAAATGTTCCGGCCTTTACCAGTTCTTAAATTTAAACAGATACTGTATGGATTCTTAACACTGCATAATAATAAAATTAACAGAAATGGATGCTGGTGGGAGACTAGAGCTTGAAACTCACCTCCAACACTCAAACATATTTAACAGGAGAATTAATGTTGTTTTGTTTTGTATTTTTCTTTTGGGGGGTGGGAGGGGGGATATTAAATTCCGCCATACTAAGTCCTTTTTATACGCCCCCAAAAATTTTTGCGGTCGTATATTGGTATGACGTTGGCGTCGTCGTCTGAAGACACATTGGTTTTCGCACTATAACTTTAGTTTTAAGTGAATGGATCTCTATGAAATTTTACAATAAGGTTAAATACCACAAAAGGAAGGTTGGGATTGATTTTGGGGGTTATGGTACCAACAGTTAGGAATAATGGGCCAAAAAGGGGCCAAAATAAGCATTTTCTAGTTTCCAGACAATAACTTGTGGAAAGGTGTATGGATCTCTCTGAAATTATACCACAAGTTTCCATAACACAAAGGGATGGTTAGGATTTGCTTTGGGGGGTTATGGCTCAAACTGTTTAGGAATTAGGGGCAAAAAAGGGGGGAAAACAAGGTTGTCCTGGTTAATGGACAAATACTTTAGTACAAAACATTATTTAAAGCAGTGTAAGGGAGATAAATCAAATACATCATTTGAATTACCTCCCTTACACTGATTTTAAATTATGTATAAAGTAATGGTTAATGTACAATTAAGACAATTTAAAACAGTGTGAGGGAGGTAATCCAAATACAACGTTTTGATTATTTCCCTTACACTGCTTTTTAATTATGTTTAAAGAAATGCATATTTATTAAGGAAGACCAGTAAAAATATCTGCAAATGTTGCATCTTTTTTTTTTACCAAAAAATCCATATGAAAGATTTGACACCATATTTTAAATTCTATTATAAAATAGATTAAGTTAGCACTATGGTAAATTTAAATGGGTAATTATGGTTGCAAACTCCATTGGAAATTTAATTTGAATTGAGATTATCACCATATCTTGAGGGAAAGAATTTTTTTGGGGAAAGAGGTGGGGGGGGGGGGGGGGGGGGGGGGGGGGGAGTAAAACGAAATTGTGGGGTCAATTTTGTCTTATTTCAGATTTCAGAAGTTAAAAGAATTATTCTTCAAATATTATCTTTTTTTCAAATTTCAAATATTGAAAAATTTCAAGAAGTAATCTTTAATTGCACAGTATGGCGCATTAGATTTGTAAAATCTTTGACAACATGTATTTATTTGTTTATTTGTTATGCCGAATCTGACCGTGTATTTAGATTTTTAATTTTGGGTCCAGTTTTCAAATTGGTCTACATTAAGGTCCAAAGGGTCCAAAATTAAACTTAGTTTGATTTTAACAAAAATTGAGTATATGGGGTTCTTTGATATGCTGAATCTAAACATGTATTTAGATTTTTGATTTTGGGCCCAGTTTTCAAGTTGGTCCAAATTGGGGTCCAAAATTAAACTTTGTTTGATTTCAACAAAAATTGAATATTTCGGGTTCTTTGATATGCTGAATGTAACCCTGTATTTAGATTTTTTATTTGTGGGCCCCGCTATCAAATTGGTTCATTTTGAGGTCAAAAGAGTCCAAAATTAAACTTTGTTTGATTTCATCAAATATTGAATTATTTGGGTTCTTTGATATGCCAAATCTAACAGTGTATTCAGATTTTTAATTTTGGTTCATGTTTTTTAAATTGGTCTACATGAAGGTCCAAAGGGTCCAAAATTAAACTTAGTTTGATTTTAACAAAAATGGAATTCTTGGGGTTCTTTGATATGCTGAATCTAAACAGGTGTTTAGATTTTTGATTATGGGCCCAGTTTTCAAGTTGGTCCAAGATGGGGTCCAAAATTATACTTTGTTTGATTTCAACAAAAATTGAATATATGGTGTTCTTTGATATGCTGAATCTAACCATGTATTTTGATTTTTGGGCCACATTATCAAATTGGTCCACATTGAGGTCAAATGGGTCCAAAATTATACTTTGTCTGATTTAAAAAAAAATTGGATTCTTTGGATTCTTTGATATGCTTAATCTAACCATGTAGTTTTATTTTTGGGCCCCGTTATCAAATTGGTCCACATTGAGGTCAAAAGGGTCCAAAATTAAACTTTGTTTGATTTCATCAAAAATTGAATTCTTTGGATTCTTTGATATGCTGAATCTAACCATGTATTTAGATTTTGGATATTGGACCATTATAGGTAAATTAAAAATTTATCAGTTCTTAGACCAGATTCATTCTGTGTCAGAAACCTATGCTTTGTCAAATATTTAATCACAATTCAAATTCAGAGCTGTATCAAGCTTGAATGTTGTGTCCATACTTGCCCCAACTGTTCAAGGTTCGACTTCTGCAGTCGTATCAAGCTGCGCCCAGCGGAGCGTTTTATTATGTTGTATATTGGTATGACGTTGGCGTCGTTTTCCGAAGACACATTGGTTCCCGCACAATAACTTTAGTTTAAGTGCATGGATCTCTTTGAAATTTTACCATAAGGTTCAATACCACAAAAGGAAGGTTGGGATTGATTTTGGGGGTTATGGTACCAACAGTTAAAGAATTAGGGGCCAAAAATAAGCATTTTTGTAACTTCCAGACAATATCTTGTGTGTTAGTGTATGGATCACTCTAACATTGTACCACAAGGTTCCATATCACAAAGGGAATGCTGGGATTGATTTTGGGGGTAATTGCCTCAAAATTTTAGAAAATAGGGGACAAAAAAGGGGCAAAAAGACAAGCATTTTTCTAGTTTCATGACAATAACTTGTGTGTAAGTGTATGGATCTTTATGAAATTGTACTACAAGGTTCCATGTCACAAAGGGAAAGCTGGGTTTGAGTTTGGGGGTAATTGCCCTAAAAGTTTTGGAATTTGTGGCCAAAAAGGGGCAAAACAACAAGCATTTTTCTAGTTAATAACTTGTGTTCAAGTGTATGGATCTCTCTGAAATTGTACTGCTAGGTACCATACCACAAAGGGAAGGCTGGGATTGAGTTTGGGGTGATTAATCATTAGGGGGGTTTAAAATTGGGGGGGGGGGGGGATTTTTCCCCCCTTTTTTTTCTTTAAAATTTTCCATTTTAAGTTGGTTATTTCTGATTTATATATAAAAGCAAATAATAATGATATGGTTTGATTTCATCAAAAATTGAAATATTGGGGTTCTTTGATATGCTGAATCTAACCGTGTATTTAGATTCTTAATTTTTGGTCCCGTTTTCAAATTGGTCTACATTAAGGTCCAAAGGGTCCAAAATTAAACTAAGTTTGATTTTAACAAAACTTGAATTCTTGGGGTTCTTTGATATGTTGAATCTAATCACGTATTTAGATTTTTGGCCCAGTTTTCAAGTTGGTCTAAATTGGGGTCCAAAATTAAACTTTGTTTGATTTCAACAAAAATTGAATAAATGGGGTTCTTTGATTTGCTGAATCTAACCATATATTTAGATTTGTTATTTGTGGGCCCCGTTATCAAATTGGTCCACATTGAGGTCAAAAGGGTCCAAAATTAAACTTTTTGTTTGATTTCATCAAAAATTGAATTCTTTGGATTCTTTGATATGCTGAATCTAACCATGTATTTAGATTTTGGATATTGGACCATAATTAGTAAATTAAAATTTTTTAAGTTCTTAGACCACATTCATTCTGTGTCAGAAACCTATGCTCTGTCAAATATTTAATCACAATCCAAATTCAGAGCTGTATCAAGCTTGAATGTTGTGTCCATAC